TATGGTGCTATTGTAGTAGTTAGGGAGGCATTCTGATACACAGACTATTGCTTAGTGTACAAACTATTGCCCCACTTCGAACCGGGTACATGGGCCTTACATTGGGATGACTATATGGGCACAAATTAAGGGATATGTGGGATGAGAAATTTATGGAATTTTTCGCCGCATCTAGTTGCTCTTTGTTGCGCAGAAGACCGACCTTTTGATCTTCTTTTATTTACAGAGGTGCAGAAGATTTGCCAGTTCATTCGTTCCTCCAAGGAAGTAAGCCACCGAACTGCACGGGAATCAAAGATGAGTACTGTCGGCTACCATACTATACAGCTATACATGAGTTGTTCCCACCTGAGTGAGTTTGGATTTGTTGGTTCATTCAAGAGATGTTTCTTAATGAAAATTGGCACGTTATAGGCATTCACTTTGGGTTCCTGTGCCGTCGCCAGCTCCAGTGCCGTATCCGATTAAGCTATCGCTCATTGATCGCGTTCGTGTTGGCGGGAATAGATTAAACCTCACTTTCGAGGTAGGATGTTGACAATTTCTTTCCAGTTCGACGTCAATGTTGATATTTTCAGCTTCGCGGTGGTTTTGATAAAATGTCACTTCATGTGACACCACTGGCTGGCTACGAATTGGTGAAGTGGTCGTTCACGAACATTGATATCGAGGAATTCGGTCGCCGCACTACATACTTCGTTTTCATGACTTACGGTTTCGAAATGCCGGAATACCGACGCTTCTGGGTCCTCCTCGAAAATGTTAGTGAAGAAGTCATTACTGTATCATTTTTTTTTCAAGAAAGAACCGCATTACCATCACCAAAGGCGTAAAATTTCGTGTTGTGTGAGCGGAGAAGCGCAGGCATGCTTAGGACCGGAAGTATGTGCAGAATTCCCTCTGTGCGGAGTAGGAAAAGAAGCGAACCGTTCAGAGTAACAAGGGCAGCTTGCTCTGGAATTGACAGGGAGTTTGCGGGTCTCACTTGCTGACTGTGAGAGAACTGTAAAGTAAACTCCTCGACGAATCTCCACTCTGTTAGCACTGCAAGGGTCGTTCTCAAAATTTTTAATCTACGTCATGACTGCGGTAGGAAGAAATCTGCCACCTCCTCGTATGCGAGATAGGGTAAGTAAGGGCACATTCCATAATTAAGCCTAGGTGGATCAATCCCTTCAATAAAGAGGAAAAAGCTATTCATTAAAGTGGAAAATTTAATGAGGCTGCAGCTTAAAAGTGCGTGACGGAACCACTGGATCTTGTCGTTTCGCTGCTCTTCGCTGTGGGGCTGATATTCCCAATGCACTGGTCTGAGTGGCGGAATGTCTGTGTCTTGCTTGCCGCCGGATGCTTTCACCTGTTCTCTCCACTTGGTAGTCATTGTCTCTTCGTCGTAGCGCCTGTTTCCATCTCACAAAACAATTCCTTACTCATTACTCATTCCCAGCATTTTTGTACTTTCTTTTCATTTTATCTCTTCTAATAGTTCACTTCACAGTTCAGCGTTCATTTTCGCGTGAAGATAATCTTACCTCACGGTCAAATGACCTTTTTTTCGAATAGACTTTGGTGAAGGTGACTATGAGGGGGAGACCGAGTTGGAGGTGATATGTACTATGTCGCTTTTGGGGACCAACTTATGAAGTTATTGTTCATTTTTTACAGTCGGTATCTCGAACTCTGATTGGGCGTGTCACCGGAAATGACGTGGCAGCCATCGCACTTGCTAGATGCCACGTGGATAAGATACTCCGCCAGATATCAGCGAAGCATGCTGGAAGCAGCTTATCCGCGCAATTTCTATCAAGTGCGGTGGCTGCCACGTCATTTCCGGTGACACGCCCAATCAGACTTCGAGATTTGGAGTGTACATTGTTGTTAATAATCAAACTTTCAGCCTGCCGCAACACCTTCTAATCCAAAGCACACTAATAATATTGAAATAGCTGTCGCCTCTCATCATGCTCATGGTTAGTGACACTTTTTTTTCAATCAAGCCTTGCTTTGCCTCATGTGTATTGATAATCACCATTGTCCTCGTGAGGAACATAATCTTGAATGGGTATCAATTTTGTCTCAGGTGAGCATCAGCACTCGGAGACATTACGCCAACTTCGTCATTTGATTCAAGGACGTCGTCAGACTCCGGATATGGCTGTCGGGTGGTGGAAATGGGGTATTACCATGATCGGTGGAGTAGCTGAGTTGGTTGTGTATGTCTTCTAGATGGTCTAATAAGTGAGGCTCTTTGCTGCATGATTGCCTTCTTAAAATGGAAGCATAAAGCTGCCCAATTTTTATGAAACTCAACTC